CAGATGACCAACCTGGGCAGATTCTTCCTCTAGACGTCGCTTCTCCTCTTCTGCGTCGATCAGCTTTTGTTTAGTCATCAGTAACTCCTTATTCAATGCGTCTGCCTTCTCTTCTGCCTGATAATACACAAGTCCACAAGCACCCAGGTGAAGAATATTCGATGCCAACCACAATGTAAATAATAATTCCATTATTACGAGAGAATTATAAAATTCTTCCTTTAACTGAGTTTGATGCTAGATGTTGAAGATAAAGGTCTACCTGCAAAGACGACATTGAATACTCACCTCTTCTGCATTGATCATCTTGTGCCTACGGATACCTTTAGGAGCTTACAGATGCTGATTTGGGGATCTGGAGATTATTTACTAACAGGAGTCTGTGCAGGTTATCTACTGCATGCCATCATAATGTCTTCATGCAAGCTTCTTGAGTTGTGGACAATCCCAATAGAGTCAATTGTCTTTAAATTTTGACTGGTCGGTGGCCATTTAACTGTTGAGAGGGGGCTAGCAGTTAAACAACTTGAGCAACCGACATCATAAGATGAGGCAGTCTGGGAATTACTCGGCACCGCTGTCTTCCTTCTGCAACATCTGGATGATTTATCACCACTCGAGCTATGTGCACTTTTACATTTGGCTGGGCCAGTGGTGGCAAACCTTGGCACTCCAGCTGTTTTGGAACTACAAGTCCCATGAGGCATTGCAAGGCTCTGACAGCCACAGACATAACTCCCAGAGGCAGATGCATGTTGGGACTTGTAGTTTTGGCACAGCTGGAGTGCCAAGGTTCGCCACCACTGGGCTGGGCAGTAGAGACGCACTAACTTCAAATATGTAATCTCCAAGTCTACAGTATATAAAGTCAAACCTTTTTTTGGGTCAGAACCCCTATCAGATTTTTTTTTCTCTCTTTACTTTATTTTAATTGCCATCACATAGGGAAGCTTACAATCCCCCTATGTGATATCATAGTGGTGGTGACAGGTCCTCTTTAAGGTGATACTGGGGGTCCAAAAAACCCCTAGTGTCACCTTTCCGCTCTAAATAAGCTATTGAAGGGCAGATCGCACTTCAATAGCTTATCGTTGGGCTTCAGGAGCCGATCAATGACAGCTCAGGGACCGGAAGTGATGTAATAAGCGTCGCTCCTGATCCCATAGAACAGGGAGGAGATTGGTGAATGGACGTTCACTGCACTGCTCCCCAGCATTCTTGCCGGCAGCCGACATGCCGATCCCCGGCCTGCAGGAAGGGCAGCGGAGAACGGGAAAACACGGCGGGGGTGTCAGGTGGGTACTTAACCGGCACGTAGAAGCGATCTGGTGGCACCTGAGCTTTACCATTGTAAACAGAGTAGCCGCCGGGGGTCTGTTTAAACTGGCCCGCTGCCAAAGACATACTATGTGGACGCGAAGGTGTTAAACCTCCCGAGCTCGGATCTGCTGTAAAAGAAGAACCCATATGACCAGCCCAAGAGAACTTCTGCTTCCTATCATCTTTCTTTTTTTTATTTTTTATCATTTTCATATTTTTATAGAACATTTTATTCAATCGACAAAAATCCATCTTCGCCGCCAACTGATCTATTGTTTAGAAAATGCCCTTTTGATTGGAGATCAAAAAACACAGCGCAGACCTGCCGGGCCTTTGAAATCCCGCTCTGCTCGCCTTGTAAAGTTAATTAGCAGGCCGATACCCAGAACGACTCCATGTTTTCTTTGTGCTGCCGTCCCGTTATGTATGCCTTCCGTCGCTATGGTAACCCAGGTCATTGTTACTTGTAAAGAAGGTTCTGCTATCAGCCGCTTTGGCATCTGCTTTTATTCGTTTACAAAAGGACGTCGGTTGTCTAAGCTCCCGAACGTAACAATGAAAGAATGACGCCGCATTGTACCGAGACATACACACAAATATATATGTATATATATAAAGGTTCTAAACATAAAAATTACAGAATTTATACAAGACCGCTTGAAGCCTGAATGAGAAACCATCTAGATGTGTCCATGCGCACATGTAAGGGTATCAAATTCTTGCTTTAGGCACAAAAAAAGTTTATTACAATAAAAAAAAAAAAAAAAGAACATATAAAAGTGCTAATGATAAATACACCCGCATGGCAACACAATAGAAGAAAGCAAAATGAGTGACGCAACAGCCTAAAACAGCAAATGCAATTAAAACACACCACTGCTAAGAAGGGTCTATTTATAAAAACATCGCCCAGCCTACCGTGCTTCCCCCGAACATAAGACCTACCCCGCAAGTAAGACCTAGCACAATCTTTAGAGATTCCTGTAATATGAGACCTACCCCGAAAATAAGACCTAGTTCAGTGGTACGGTAGCATGCACTTTACCGCACTGTTCACTGTCTGCACCACTGGCAGGGCCGTAGGTTCTTGGGCTGGTGTGAACTAGCCCTAAGAGTGAGGCTGTGTACAAGTGATCTGAGTGGCTGACTTGTACGAGACTGCTACCGTGCTGCCAAGCCGTGGTTTTCGGGGTCCCCTCACTCCTCTGGGGAGCCCGGGGCCATGTCAGATGCATTCAGAAGAGCATGGAACATGTCCGTTCCCCAATCTGCTCTGTGATCAATGAAACAGGTGGCATTACCTTGGTTGAGGGTTACTATACCATCCATATCTATAACTTTGACCCTCCAGCTATGGCAAAATGACCAATCCCACCATGCATCTGCCTCTGGGCAGCCACACTTGTCAGTCATGCAATGCCCCATGGGTCTTGTAGTTCCACAACAGCTGGAGGGCCAAAGTTGTCCTGTCCTATATCAGTGGTAAGCCTCTGGTCACATACTGTACCATGAAGCTATTGGAAGAGCCTCAGCCTGGGGTTCGGTTGGGCTTTACTGGCCTTAGTTCCTGGAGTAGAAAACTACCATCGTTAATAAAGTGATCCAGGCCACAGAATTCTAGCTTTACATCAGCGCTCCCTGCAAGCTCTCAGAGTAACACACAAGCTGTCTATATTGATAGATGTCCTTACATTGTCCAGGTCCTTGCGCAGGGCAATCTTACTGGTGACCAACTCATGAGCCAAGTCATCGTTTTCTTGCTCCAGTCTCATGTTTGCCTCCTGAAGCCGCCGGTTTTCACGCTAGAAAATTAAAAAAGAAAAACCACAACTTCCATTTAAAGATGTTCTAGGGAATGAAATGGATGTCCTGGTCACACTGTATGACAGAGTCCAATGAGCCACGGTCTATGAAATGATTAATCCCGGTACGAGTGACCATCGTCACCTATGAAGTCAACCTGAACGTCCACATTGTTTCTGTGACCGTCTGATGGGCAGCAGGAGACGCATATTAACTTTGTATGAACATAAGAAGCTCTCTAGGAAAGGGTGAAAATATTCCATTAGGGTGTAAGCTGAGCGGTTCACATTCTGTGTACGGCCCATGCATTTTCCAGTGAAGGGAAGTGTATATAAATGAGGGGCGGGCTTTACATGGCAAGGTAACAGTCACCAATGGTGATCATTCACACCAGCGCGTTGCCTTACACACAGAGGACAAGCTGCTCAGTTATTTGCAGCCAATTCATTACTATTGCAAAGCAAAGCAAATGTATGTAAACCCTAAGGTCTCGTTCACACCTAGGCGTATTGCATATGCGCGTCTGTCGCGCGTTTTTTTACCGCGCTTCGCGGTAAAAAAGTTGCGCGTTTACGAAGGCTACTTGGCTGTATCCCAATGGAAACGCACAGCAAAACGCCCCAAAGTAGCACCTGTACCTTTTCAGGTGTGGGCCGTTTTGTAGCGCGTTAGGAACGGGTGGAAATACGCCAAGGTGGGAACGAGACCATTGAATACAATGGGATTTATATTTTTGAGCGTGCTACAACGCGCTACAAAACGTTCAGGTGTGAACGAGGGCTAAAAATGAACGACATTTATATGCAACCTTTTGCTCTGTTAAATATACATTTTTTTTAGAATGTATATGGCCACGTAAGGTAAATTTTGTGGCTCATTGTGACGGTTTTCCTGGAAAGTTCAACAAGCGTTGCATAACAAAAATTTGCATACGCCTGCATGTGGTTCCCTAATCCGAGAATAATGTCACTTAAATGTCTCTCTGCTTCCCGGAAACCTTCAGCAAATGTCATTTTCTGAATGCAACGGCTGTAACGATATTTGCTGCACAGCTCACTTCCACCCTTAGGCCTCATTCACACTGGAATCGGCCCGCACGTACAGCTCCGTGCACGGCCGTATCGGGGAAGGTCAGGTGCTGCGTGTGATTAGTACGCTGCCCGGCGGCTATGCCGCTCCTCTACTCCCTGACGCCAGGCCTCGGTGGCCTTGTGGGAAATCCGGGACCGGGTCTATGAGACCTGCACTGCTTACACCCAAGCGGACCTGGAGTAACTGCTTTAATCCGGGTGAGTTTATTGCTGGGCTCTAAAAATAATAGAACCCCATAAGCCCCCCCAAATCACTATAACCGGGCTCAAGTGTGCCCCATTTGTTTGTTTTTTTGTCACTCACCTCATATCTTTCGACAGGGTCCTCCTGCTGTGCCTGTTGCTCTCTCATCATGTGGTACTCCCTCTCGTACTTTTTGAGCTTTTTCTGACTTATCTGAAAAATGACAAAAGAAAAAATGATCAGAAACAAAGTTGCTTTTGACACAACGCTCTCTTTATACAATAGCACAGAAACATGTTTTAACATTCTACTCATGGCTGGACCAACATATAGCTCCATGGCCATCCCTATGTGGCCCACCCATCGAACTCGTTCTTCACACCTTCCTCAGTCCATTATTGCACTATGCGCCATTTGTGTTTATATCATCTACAAAGAGAGAGCAGGAAGGGAAGCTGCAAAGTTGACATCTATACTATATAGCCAGAAGCACACCCAACGTGTTCCCCTTTGGACACTGGAATAGTGCCATTGATAGCTGGACCAAGAGTCGTCTCCATGCTAAAACCTGGAGAAGTGGTCGTGCGCAGCCAAGGAATGCATTTGTATAGTGTTCAACACTACATAAAACCATTTTCAACCAAGCTTAGCATGTTCTTATGCTGCCCCTGTGGAAAGTGGCATCACATGCAGTATAAAAGGAGAGGGAAGGAATTCCATAGTGCTATATTTTTCTGTTGTCTTGATACAAAAGGGTGAGTGAGCATTGTTCTCCTACAACAGGTGTGCTATTGGCAGAATCGCCGGGAAAAAAAGCCAAAAATAGGCCTAAAAAAACTGATGCAGCCAACATTTCTAAAGACCGATAAACTGAAATATATATACATTTTGGGTTAAGATCTGCTTTAATAAAACTAGGGGATGGGTGGGAGAACCTTGGGATGGGTTGGAGACCCTTGGAATGGGTGGGAGACCCTTTATCTACTTCAGGATGGGTGGGAGACCCTTTATCTACTTCAGGATGGGTGGGAGAACCTTTATCTACTCGGGGATGGGCGGGAGATCCTTTATCTACTCGGGGATGGGCGGGAGATCCTTTATCTACTTCGGGATGGGCAGGAGATCCTTTATCTACTCGGGGATGGGCGGGAGATCCTTTATCTACTCGGGGATGGGCAGGAGATCCTTTATCTACTTCGGGATGTGCAGGAGATCCTTTATCTACTTCGGGATGGCCGGGAAACCCTTTATCCACTTCGGGATGGGCGGGAGATCCTTTATCTACTCGGGGATGGGTGGGAGATCCTTTATCTACTTCGGGATGGGCGGGAGACCCTTTATCTACTTCGGGATGGGCGGGAGATCCTTTATCTACTTGGGGATGGGCAGGAGACCCTTTATCTTCTCGAACTCTGCTGGCTACCTTCCTTAGGTATGATTATTCTTCACAATAGAAGAGGTCGGAGGTACAGTAACATTACAGGAATGTACTGCAGAGACAAATCTATAATTTTGCCACTTTATAGATCGCTGGTTCGGCCTCATCTGGAGTATGCGGTCCAATTTTGGTCACCAGTCCACAGGAAGGATGTCCTTGAACTGGAGAGAGTCCAGAGAAGGCCAACCAAAATTAGTTAAGGGGCTGGAGGACCAAAGCTAAGGGACAAGGTTACTAAATCTAAACATGTTTACTCTGGAAGTGAGGAGATTAAGGGGAGATATGATTTTCTTGTACAAGCTGTTCAATGGTGATAGCAACATAACTAAAACTCTTTACGGTAACCTCCATAACAAAGACTAGAGGCCACCATCTAATATTAGTGGAGAAGAAATTCAAGCACAAGGGGCTTCTTCACAGTAAGAGCGGTCAGGGTCCGGAACTCGTTGTCGCAAGAAGTGATCTCAGCTAAGAGTGTTGAATCGTTCAAAAAGCATTTGGACGATTTCCTCAGAGACCGCAACATACAGGGGAACAGGTACTCTTAAGAAGAAGATGGCACATGGACTCCACATGTAGATTCACATGCATACACTCTATAGGTTGGACTTGATGGATCCGTGTCTTTTTTCAACCTCAAATACTATGTAACTATGGTACATATGGGGCATCAGAAAGGGTGGAGAATAGTCATAAAGTGTGTTACCTCTAAAAGGCCGGGGTCCGATAATACGCCGGTATTAGTAGACAGAGTAAGAACACGCAGTAAAAAGCCCTGAACTAATGCATGAGCTATACATAAGAGTAGAATATAAGTGTACGGCGTATGACCGGACAAGCACCACACAGTAAAGAAAATCAATTTTGTTTTTTAAAGTCCACATCATATGGCCTAGAAGACTAGAATGCAACTCCCGCCTAACCCCATACAGCCACAATATATAATATGCAGTACGACTTTAGCGTTCCGAGAAAATTATTGGTGGGAGATTCTGGGAACTTTGAGGCACACCAAAATAAAGCAGATAAGAGACAATATGCAGTAATCTACAGGATACTTACAAACGTGAATCAGCAAAGAGGAGTAGCCGCTGAATGCAGCTTTCCTCCGTCATACCGAGCAAGCAGACAGGATATCCTTAGCTGGAAACCAAACCTTTTGCATTATTAACCACTTTCCAGAATAGCAAAGTTGGCTAACGCAGCTTGCGTGGAGCGCATCGCTGAGCGAAACAATTGCTGATGGTGAGGACAGGACAGAAAGGGTTAGAGGCAGCACCAAGTGTACGCTGGATGCAGTAACAGCAGTCGCTGGCGGGTCCAATATAACACTTCCAAACATAGGTTTCTTTTCAGAAATGAAATACAATGGGTCTCGTTCATCATGGTGCTATGTTACCCCTTAGGAACCCGATTTCGACTGTCTTTTTATTTTCTGACGGTGGTTTTAAAGTAAAAGGAAGCTGGTGGTTAAAGGAGAACTATGGGGTTAGTGCTTTTCCCCATAGTTCTCCTTAGGGTAACGGGAGGACATAAACTAGCGTCCTCCCGTCACCCTAGGCTCAGTATACTGAGACGCCGCCGCTGAAGCGGATCCCGACAATTATGTCGGGACTGACAGCTGGCTCTGCCTATCTACAGGCAGAACCAGCTGTACCCGCCCCCTCCCCCGTCCGTTCTGCCAGTCAGCGGTGGAGGATCGGAGCGGGGAGGGGGGAATCCAGCCCCTCCCCCTGTCACGGCAGAGAGCCGGGACAGGATCGAGAGGTGAGCGAGCGCCGGTATGTGTTCGCTCGCTTCCCGATCTACTAAGCCGACCTGTGACAGTCTCATTGTCACAGGCCGGCTAGAACTATGAGGTGAGTGAAAAGCACCCCCCATCATAGTTCTCCTTTAAGGACAAAGTGAGTAATTTTAACACAAGGCCAATTATTTTAGGTGGAACAAATTAGAGCAATGGATGTTACCAATCTGCTCACTCCTCCTTTCTATACGACATTATAGGCAAGTTGGACTGGTGAATGAAATAAAACTAAAGCGTTGAACAAAAATTCTTATTGGGCAAAGTTTCTGGACATCTGACCATTACAAGTCTATGGGCTTGTTACATCCCATTCCAAAACCACGGGGCATTAATATGGAGTTGACTCCTCACTGTGGCTACAGTAGCCTCCACTCTTCTGAGAAGGCTTTCCACTAGATTTTGGAAGGGTGCATTAGCTAGTTTGCAATAACCAATAGGAAACTAGCTATGCATCAGTATGCCTCTTTTTTTCTTTTCTGAAAAAAAAAAAACAATCGCAGGGAAAGGTTCAATCTGCTTGATCAAGCAGATTAAACCTTTCCCGGAAGAAGTGTTTTTCTCCCGGGCGGCCGCTATCTAATAGCGGGAGACTCCAGGAGCGTCCGGGAGAGTTGGGATGTCTGAGTGATGAGCCAGGGGCTTGGTGCGAACAGGTTTGCCCAAACCTAAGCAAAACTGTGACCGACCCCCCTCGCGGCCCAATCAGCTGTGTCATGGGCATTCCCAACCCCTTGGTGACCTGTAGCTGTGGGGCGGAGGATATGTCTTCCACACTGATTGGACCGTGGGGGGCAAACTGGGTTTTCCCAAGCCCCAACTGTTCACTAATCACAACCTCTATTGAAAAAAGGGAAGTTAAGTCCATATATTGACAAAGTATATATTATTCATCTGCAATCACAGAACTATCAGGTTTAAAAAACAAAATGGGCTATATACAATGACCCGCCTCAGCAAACCAGAAGTCATCTCAACCAAAATGTAAAGAGCGGTCAGAAAACAACCGCAATGCACATTCTTATAGCTCTTGCCCTGCTTTAAGGGCCTGTTCACATGATATCAGGTCCTGATCAGGTCCGGATCTGCAGACGCGGTGCTACTGATGCAGTGCGTTTTTGCCGCGTTTTTGATGCGTTACAGTTTTTAAAAAAAACATTTTTTTTTTTTTTTTTCTGGAGTGGGGTTGTCAGTATGTTAGCTGCAGTGCGTTTTTGACGCGTTTTGCGTTTCCGGGCCATTTCCTGACTGTACAAAATGTGACATGCAGTACGTGAGAACTGTGCACGTGAGAACTGTAGCCCATAAAACACACAGGGATACATTGGGAGGCATTTTTAGCGCAGCAGCGTACGGATCAGGTCAGCGCAGAAAACGGACGTCGTTTGAACAGGCCCCTAAAGGAGTTCTAGTCACAGCATATGCCATCCCTTCCCTGATCCCTTCTATGTAGTGAGTGCGGCCATCCATATTCATTTTAAACAACTTCTTGGATTCCCAGTGTGCTTTGTGTCTCTTTCCCTGCTGCTCAATGCAATCTCCATTTGTCAAGATTATATATCCCATCATGCATTGCTTCCAGCAAGCAATGATGATGTTACATTGTTCAGACGGCAGGCTCTGTGAGTGGCATGAGGGAAATGGTGTCAGTGCATTGAGGAAGTCCATCCTATGAGCATCTTCAATAACTTTACAAACCTCTAGATGGATCTGGTTATTAGGAGCGGGATGAAACTTATGGAGATTCAATATAGAAATACAGATTTATTGTGGAGTTGTTGAGTAGAGATACCCTTTAATGATTAAGTCTAAAAAAAAAAAAAAGTCTCCGGAGATTATTTTCCTATTCAAATCAGCGCACCGAGAATACAATTCATTTCCTTTTTTTCTAAATGACCTTTAAATTTTGCATATGCTTGGCATTTTGCCTGACAGACAAGTGCTGTACTACTGTGTACCTTCTCCGTTAATTATGTCAACGGTGACTGAACACAGAAGTTAAACATGTGCTGTGCAGAATATATAATTCCTTATATTTTTGCAAAGACTTCGCCGAAATACCGGCGATGATTAGCAGAGTATAAAGCAGAGGCGTATCTACAGCGAATTGCACCCCCTGGCGTCCCGCCAAGCGCATGGCAACCAGTGATGTCACTGGTTGCTGGGCGGGATGCCGCACAGAATGTCCCAGGTTGCCAAAAGCTGGGCGAGCAGTAGCGTAAGGGCTATACACATCGTCCCGCCTGGCTCTTAGCAACATGGGATGCACTAGCTGACATCTCCCTACATACACATTTCCCTGTCCGCTCTGGTTGCTAAGAGCAGTTAAAGGAGAACTATGGGGTTAAGTCTTTTCCCCATAGTTCTCCTTAGGGTAACGGGAGGACACCAACTAGCGTCCTCCTGTCACCCTAAGCTCAGTATATAGGGAGCTGTAGCTCGCGGTATACTGAGACGCCGCAGCTGAAGCGGATCCCGACATCGATGTCTGGATCCGCCCAGCTGCGTGACTGACAGCTGGCTCTGCCTATCTAGAGGCAGAGCCAGCTGTACCCGCCCCCTCCCCCGTCCGTTCCGCCAGTCAGCGCTGGAGGATCGGAGCGGGGAGGGGGGAATCCAGCCCCTCACCTGTCACGGCAGAGAGCCGTGACAGGATCGAGAGGGGAGCGAACGCCGGTATGTGTTCGCTCACTTCCCGATCTACTGTGTCTCTCTTCTGGTGAATCGCTCTACTTTGCCAGTTTAGGCCTCATTCACACTGAGCGATGTATCGCGGATATTTATCGCGCGATATCGCTCTCCAAAGCATGGCAATGGGGCTCTGTTCGTCCCTGTCGCGGGTCGTGCGTCGTTACAACAGGACCCTTTTTGGAGCGGATTTCGGCGCGATTCTACTTTGCTCAATGCAAGCATTTGATCGAATGCAAATTGCACGATTTATCTAGAATTAAGTTCGTTTTTTTTTAGATTGTCTGAAATCATTGTATGTGTGTTTTGTGAATGTTTAATCTCATATTCAGTAGAGTTTTTTATTACCTATAAAGAAAACAACTTAAAGCAGAACTCCAGGAATGATCATTTTTTGGAAACTTTACACTTGGCCAGCTTGGCTCAATTTAAGGATCCATATCTTATATCAGGAGGATCGTAGCGAGGAATCCCTGCAGGTAGCCGTGAGTGACAGTCACGGCTCTCTGCAGGCACAGGATCGAGAAGTGAGCGAGCGCCGGTATGCGTTCTCTCACTTCCCGATCTACTGAGCCGACCTGTGACAGTCTCATTGTCACAGGTCGGCTAGAACTATGAGGTGAGTGAAAAGCACCCCCCTCATAGTTCTCCTTAAGGCTGGGATCCCACCTGGGCGTTAGAAATATTTATTTTATTACAGGTATTTATAGAGCGCCGACAATTTACGCCGCACTTTACAAAGCTGCTCATTCACATCAGTCCCTGCCCTCAAAGAGCTTACAATCTAAGATCCTTATGTCACATACGGGCCGCACGTTTTTACCGCGATTTGCGGTCCACGAAACGCGCGTTTTACGAGGGCTATCCAGCTGTGTCCTAATGGAATACGCGCGGCAAATACGCGCCCAAAGAAGCTCCTGTACTTCTTTGGGCGTAGGGCGTTTTTCAGCGCGTTCCGACGCGCTGAAATACGCCCAGGTGGGAACCACGGCCATAGGAAATAATGGGATTTCACTTGCTGGGCGTTTTCACAGCGCGTCGATCAGCGCTGTAAAACGCCCAGGTGTGAACTCGGCCTTAAGAAAAGAAACTGTAAGCCTGTGTACACTTTTTTATTTTGACGCGCCCTACAGAAATATTGCCCCCGTCAAGTTTATAAACTTGAAACCAAAGAAGTAGATATTGCAGGCGGGTGTTCTTGCCCGCTACGGCATGACGCCGAGCTTCTTACATGTACAAATGTATGCGGCCGGTAAAGCTTGAGAAATCACCTCCGGCTACCGGGGCGTTCAGCAGACATCTGCGTACAATGAGCAGGCACAGAGCCGTCACACACATTACATTAACCAAGTGCAGTGGATGCGCATTCACAACTAACCACAGGTGACTGGAGATGAAAGCCGAGAGCTTAGCCGGCAGAGTAAATATCGCACGCTACGGAAGCGGGCGTCCAGCGGCCTGGATGTACGGTCACAGAACATGCCCGGAAATCCATGAGTCACGTTATAAATCATCAGGAAAAAGGGAATAAGTTATTCGGGGGGAATCAGTCACATCGGCTACCTTCAGGCTGCACGCCAACTCCATCAGCTTCTTGGCGTTGTCCTCCGAACGATATCGTTTCGGGAGCTGCACGCGGAAGAATTTCAGAGCGCCTTCAAAGTCTGTGAGCAGCAGGTCGTCCTTGGAGGTCTGAGGAGGCGAGTGGAAAAAAATTAAAAACAGAAATATAATGAACTAAAAAAGTTCTGTAAGCACGGCACAAAATACATTACTACAGAAAGAATGGGCCTATGCTGAAAGATGCGCCGACCCGGAGCACAGAGCGAGTACTCGTCCAAATGCTCCGATACTTACCCCGATACCGGAACTTCCGCTCACAGAGAGATTTTCCCTGACCGGCGGTGCCGCGAGGGAACATGAAGCCGGCCTCAAGAAGCATGGCAGCGGGTAATGATTCGCCGCCCGGCTTCCTGATTGGCCGTGAAGCTGGCTTCCCAGCCAATCAGCATTGAGCCGGCCAAACAGCACTGACCACCAGTGTAAGGGGGACCATCTTTCAACTGACCATCAATGTAAGAAGAATTGTTCCCAATGACTACCAGTGGAGAGAGTGGATCCAGCCCACTGACCCTCAATGTAAGGAGCATTCTTCTCACTGACCCCCAATGTAAGGAGCATTCCTCCCACTGACCACTAATGTAAGGAGCATTCTTTCCACTAACCACCAATGTAAGGAGCATTCCTCCCACTGACCCCCAATGTAAGGCGCATTCTTCCCACCAATGTAAGGAGCATTCTTCCCACTGACCCCCAATGTAAGGAGCATTCTTCCCACTGACCCCCAATGTAAGGAGCATTCTTCCCACTGACCCCCAATGTAAGGAGCATTCTTCCCACTGGCCCCCAATGTAAGGGACATTCTTCCCACTGACCCTAATTAATTGGTTTTAGCAGGGGTTCCGTGACACCTGAAAATCCCTTTGGGGTAAAAGTGTAAGAATGGCTGCACTGGACTAGAGGAGGCAATTCTGATCACTTGTTACATGGTGATCCCTATACTAGAATGGCTTCTGTGATCAGAAAAAAACAGAGATGAATCACTTACTTTTAACAAGCCCAAGGCGACATTAAAGATGACACTTATTCCCTGAAAACAAGACAGAACACAAATTAAAACATACAGAAGTAATGAATTAACTCTCATCATACATTCAGTGCTGGTGAATCATTTACTACCTATTAAAACACATTAGCTGGGAAGATTCACCTACGGTCAATGTTTACACTGCACTGATGATGGCCAAGCAGCCTCAGACAGCTGAATGCATGTTGGAACAAATGGCTCCATAATAATAGGCTTGGACTGTGCACTCTACACCGGCGGTCCTGGATGTGCATATCACTGATGGGAGTGTAAAGCTAGGATTTCACTATCCTGATATGAGGAAGAATCCTCTTATTTTAGGAATATGTGATGGAATGTGAAGTCATGTGATCACAATTCTGTGCCAAGAAGGCTTCACTGTGCATAAGGCCCCATTCACACACGAATCGGCCGGCACGTACAGCTGCGTCCGGGGCCGTAGCAAGCAGCTGCCGGGAAGGACAGGTGATGCGTGTGATTAGTACGCAGCCCCCGTCCTTCTCTATGGGGCTACACCCCCCCCCCCCCCCCCCCCCCGAACCATTACGGGAGGCGGGGCGG